TTAACCTATGTTTTCAATTGCTAATATGGTATTGTAGCTTGACCTGAGCTTTGGGTTTACAACAGGGGTGGGCAAAACGTGACCCATGGACTGGATGCATCCACCAGGCCATTCTATCCAGCCCGCGGGGCCCCTAAAAAATTTAGAAAATTAATAGTTATCTGCCCCTGGCTGCCTGTCATGTGGCCCTCAATGGCTTGCCAAAACTCAGTAAGAGGCCCTCCACCTGAAATAATTGTCCGCCCCTGGTTTACAACAAACCCTGAAATCCAATGATGCTTTGTATACTTTCTGCTTTAATTTTGATTGTTGGTTTCACCCTTGAAGTTGGAAGCAGCATTTCAGGGATTTAAAATCTTCAAACGTTAGAATAAATATTTTCAATTTTTTTTTGTAAAGACTTTAAACGCCTTTTGGAAGCAAAGGCAAGAGGGAACCCTGAAACCCTTCATGTGTGAGGGCCTCCAGGAAGGATAAGCAGCTTTCCAGTAATATTCTATAGTGGTCAGGAAAAAACATTTTGGTAGGCATGCCACTAATTAACCGTGCACCCTCTCCAAGTGCCACTCTGATCTCCTTTCTTTGCCCAATTTGCTGCTCTGCTTTTTCACTCCCCCTCTGGGCTCCCTGCCCAATTTCCTGCTTCCTGCCCTGTGCCCCCAAGCCTTATATCCTGCTCTGTTTTGGGCTTCCTGCCCTATCTGCTGCTGAGCTTCTTGCTATAGCCTGATCTGCTGCATGCCACACAGGGAGGCTGCTTGTGCCACTTGTAGCACTCATGCCAAAAGACGGTTAACCCTGTTCTATAGGACTTTTCTGAATGGAAGAAGTGAACACATTAAAGTGCCACTGTGCCCACTTTTGGAAAAGCCTGGAAATAAATCAAAAATATTTCATGGGCGATAGTATCAAAACTTGCTCACGTATCTAATAAATGTGTATGCTTCACCATTTTCTGTATGAGGACAGCTTTCAATATCAGTAGCCCCAACTGAATAATTCTCTGATATGGATCCAAGCAAGCTATAGAACCTAAGTACAGCTTGAGATCATTCATCATGATCTTCTTTATAACTTTCCTTAAAAATTAAGATAGGATATCTTGACTACATGGACTTACAAGATTTACATGACTGTCAATGTTCATCCTGACTTGAGCAGGGGCGTGGGCTAAATGACCTTGTAGGGTCCCTCCCAACCCTTCTTTCCTATGATCCTAATAGTGGCTACTCGAGGCAGAAACTAATCTCATTTGCTGAAACACAGCTGAACAACTTGCACCAACATTATTACTATGTATAGGACCCACTTATCTGGAATCTAATCAACTCTATCTGAGAAGTAGTGAATAAGTCCTCCAGGAACAAACCCTTAACTTCGCTACTATGTTAAAGAGGTTTGATTAATCTGACTGCTCATAGCTCATAACCAATTCATACAAACTCTGCTTTGACAATGACCATATCAAAGGAATACTACAATTCTGATACAATTGGTCATTCTGAGCAGAGCTTTTTTTGTTTGTTTGTTTTTACAGAGGCTCTGTATTTCTCACTACATTTGTAACAGGTAATCTATGAGTATGGTACAGAAGGAGAAGGGAAGTGTCAAGGGACAACAACATTAACTGCCATGGCCATCAGACTGTTATAGTGGTTATTTTAAAATGGTATTGTAATGCCTATGTAGGTAAGCAGATAAACTCCTCTAAGAGGAATTTCATAGATCCAAAGGAGCTTTACAAAAATAGGTGCATCATCTCAATATAAGCTGCTTTTTTGGAATCTATAATCTTACCACATTAAGGTTTATTTCTAACATATGCTTTCTGGATCTATAACAACTGTAAGATAAGAGTGTGTCCAGTGCTTAGTTTGAATCAGAAACCACCTCTGTTAGTCCCACTGTTGCCATGGTAGCTATTAGATCTCAAGAAAACACAAGAGGTATCTTTTGGCACGGATGTTCACGTGGCCAAGATGTAGAAATCTTGAGCAATACCTAAGCACAACAAAAATATGTCAAATTAATGTAAAGCAACCAGGTGCGCAATTCTTAGAATTGTGTTTTACAAAATAATTCTAGGGTCTTGTACTTGATGCACATATTCCAGGGGATATGCCTATGAACTCGGATACTTCTTACACCTGAAATTAGGTGCAAAGTATGATTATCAGGGCTGTGCGAAGCTTCAGTCCCCAATTTGATTTGGTGGCTGAATCTCCGAATATGAATCAAATCAGGAGACCCTTTAATCTCTCCGAATCAAATTGGACCCCTCCAAATCAATTCGGAGAGATTTGGAAAGATTTGGTGATTCAGACATAGACATAACTTTAAATGTTTTTTCTACATACCTCAAGATGTCAGGTGGCTCATGAATGTCATGATGCTGGGGCACATGGAGCATCTCACAGGAGTGTGTGGGGGGGGGGGTCCCCAGCATGCTTGGCAGCATCCCTGCAAGTGGACAAGAAGCACTTCTAGTCCACTTCTGAATTCACCAGGGAGTGTGCCAAAGGGGCCCCACCATGCCCTGCCCCAGCTTGACTGATGCCTCCTGGCTCTGAGGGGGCACCTGGAGCCCCCTCCAGCCAATTGCTGAGCTGCTAGGGTGCGGGGAGTGGGGGTCCCCGCGCGCTCCCTGGTGGACCTGGAAGTGGACCGGAAGTACTTCTGGTACACTTCCAGGTTCACCACTGAGCATGGAGGAGGCCCCCTGTAACAGGGAACCCTAGCCCTGTTACCAGAAGGCAGGTCAGCCCCTTTAAGACCAGAACTTTCTGGGCATAGCTTGCTGGTAAGGTGGGGGTTAAAAGCTGACTCTGGCCAGGTAGTTAGGTGACCGGAAGTGGGTAGGCCAGAACTATAAAAACCCTGGTCTGGGTAGCAATAGAGGTCAGCAGCCAAAGGGGAAGGAGTGTGTATAAAAGCTCCACAGAGAGGCTTGGTGAGCTGTCCAGCTGCTGCAGGAGGGGAACTACTGAGGACTTTCAGAGAAGCAGCAGCAGCCCCAGAAGGACTGCAGTAGATGGTGGGGAACAAGAGCACAAGCCCCTGTGAAAATGTGAGCTGGCATGCTGCCTTTTTTTTAATTATATTTTCGGTAGCAGTTATAGCCCATGGACATACTGTTTATAATTTTTGATTGATTAACACCGGTGGTTTGGGTGAGGCTATTGGGGAAGGAGGAGACCTCATTGGGGGCCCTACTACAGTGTGGGGACTCTGGCACCAGAGAGGGAGCAGTATTCGGGGTGCACAGGCCCTGGCGCCAGAGGGCAGAGGCATAAAAGGCAAAAGTGGCCTGGTGCACCTGGGGTGTGGCTGTATGTTTTTGAGCTGGGACAGTGGAGATTCAAGGCCACTGCCCAGCTTTGACCTTGCAGCCCCCTGGCTGTAGGGCCAGTGGACGGGCCTCTGGGCCAGAGAGGCTGGGCTCTGGAGTGGGGGCAAAAAGGCGGGCAATGAGCCCCAAGACCAAGGCGCTAGAGCCTCGGAGTCAAACCCTATCTGGTGGGTTGAGATGGGGAGGCCTAGCTAGAGCAAGACAGGGGTCAAGGCCTGTGGTGGCTGAGAACCCCAACATACAAAATACAATAGGCAGTCTCCCGCTTACAAGAACATCTATATAATATTTCCATCAAGACGTGGTAGGCGAGTAGAAAGCGGGACATGAGAAACATTAAGGGGACTTCAAGGGCGCCCCTCGTAGGTCGTGGATAACAGGCAAAAGATGGTGCTGGGGAGGTGACCTGTTACACCCCCCCATGCTCTTGTGGGATGCTCCATCCACCCCAGCATCACAGCATTCACAAGCCGGGCTTGGTACCTCAAGGTATGTAGAAAAAACATTTAAAGCTGTGTCTATGGCTGAATTGCTGATTCTCTGAATCAGCATTGAATCTTCAGATTTGGATTTGGCCAAATCAAATCAGAGACAATGATCCAAATCAACAAATTGAATCACTGTCCCTGATTTGGGCTGAATCCAAATCTAATAGGACCCATTTCGCACACTCCTAATGAGTATCCCCTTTTTTGCTTCTGATGGATTGAATACCTATTGCACCAGAACAGACAGCCAAAACAGTTATCCAACAACGTGGTGACACACAAGCAATGTTAGGATCTTGTCCACAGGGACATCTCAGAACTTTGCTGAGTCAAATAATCAGTGGTCTTGATCATTCATCATCACAGTGAATGTTGATTGGTGTGATATAGAGGTGGTAGAGCAAATTCCATAAAAGAGTTTATTCTACATGCTGTTGTACAGACCCTCAGCAACTGAGCAAGGTGCTTTAGTTTAAAGGCAAAAGGATCAAGCAATTCAGAAATCTCATCATTCCATGTTAAAATATTTTGTATTTTTAATTAAACCCAATATTATCCTGCAGGAAGAGATATAAATGAATAGCTAAGGTCAATAGATAAACCTATAACAGCAACAACTAAATATAGTTTTTAGCATTTGAGTATAAATATCTAAAGTTAAAATTATCAGAAGTGGAGCTGTCAGATGGGATTGACTCAAAATTTAGGTTTAAAAATATTAATGGAAAACAGTATTTTGATTCTAGTTCAATATTCCCCAGAGTGTTTGGAACCCAAAAATCACATCTTAATCCTACTACATGTGAAAGTGAAATTGTCTACAAACATAGCAGCAAATGACACTGATTAGTCTATCTCAATTTGTGCAATATGAATGAAGCTCTAAAAATAAATAATCGTCTTTAAGAGTAAACAGTAAAGTTGATTATTAAAATGTAGTGGTACCAATGTAACTGCTTAGGAAATATTATTATCTTACAAGATTTTTAGCCAGATGCTGTTTTTACTAAATAATATATTCTAATAATTTAACTGTCATGTGATTGCAAATTATATCAACATATATGTATTTTATTATATTTCAAAGCGATAAGCTTATCAGTGAAACAGTGACTATATAAAATGTTATATATTTAAAAAACAAAACTAAAAATAGCACTTACAGTTTGGCCTTTATGAGATCCTTTTTCAGCCAAAGTTTCATATAAAGCCACAGCTGCAGTTATATTTTGAGGAACATGATAACCAAACAGCAATGCAGCAGCAAGTTTTTCCATAGCTTTCAAATTTCCCAAATCTGCTGCTTTAGTAAGTAGTTGGTAGGCTCTAATTCAAGCACATGAAATCCAGATTTAATTATTTAATCTTAATTCTCCTCAACAAGTATGTGCATCTCTAAGAGTGGTTTTAGCAATTATAATGTATCTGTTTCAGCACTGATAACTATTATCATTGTTCCTGCAGGCTAACTGAAGTATAATTTTATGGCAGCAGAGTCATTATCAATTCTTTCTATCCCACCCTCCCAGAATGGTATTTCAAATTCATGTGACTATTACTAAGATTAATATCAATGTCAGTTTATGGTTAATAACTTAATTTTAGCAGGAATAAAAAGAGGTGAACTTGAAGTTCATATTTAGAAATGGAGGACTAGTTCTCTAAGAAAGCTCTGCAAGAGCAGAGGACACACAAAGTAGACTTAAATCCTTTTACACTTTAAATCCTCCTTAAACTGCTGCCAAGGTATAAAGACCCCTTTGGTATAAATGAGACTATGTCTCAGAGGCATCTCACACACAGCATAACTCCAGCCACTTGAAAGGTGGGGGGAGGAAGGGAGTTATTTTCTGATATTCTGCTCACAATTACCACTTTTATGAGAAGGAAGCAACAATATTTTGAAGACCTTGTTTCTATCATTGGTTAGAATATCTTTTTTTAGCATGAGAGAGAGAGTCACACACCTGTTTGAGGATGGCAGCTGTCTGAGACAGTTCTTGAGGGTAAATAAGTGTGAATAATCAATAGTATAACATACCAATAGTATAAAAACCCCCAGAAATTTAGACCAGAATAATCACAATTTTTTTATGGTACTTAATTGATTTTGATGATTTGTACCTTAGCACAGTACTTTACTCATTCTCAATTCAAAACTTCATTTAAATGTAAACCAGTCTAGGTTTCAAAATATCTGTAATTCATCTTGGGTAGATAAATATATAATAATATTAAGACTAAGATGATGCAGGTTCCAAATATTAACGCTAACTGCAGACATTTGGGGGGTTAAATTGGGTTCAGAATGGCAGCCCAATTTAAACTTTGTGGCAGACCAATTGATCCCAGTGCTGACTTTACATTTACAGACCTGTGTCCAGCAATCAGTTTAAACCTATAACTGAACAGAAGTTCCATGCACACAAACTGATCTAAAAATTGCAGAACCCAGTTCAAGATCAATCTGGGTCTATGTAGTATCAGACTCTTTCAATTTAGATCAAACTGGTTTTTGGAACTTCTGTCCACTTCCCCTGTGTAGCCCCGGGGTTGGGAAAACCCAGCCACTGGCCCCAGCCCCAGGGCTGTTCTTTTCACTCCCCGCTTCCCCTACACTGCTCTATTTTTTTGCCCCTCTGGCTTCTTGCTCCCCACCCAGGTAGCACACTCAGCCCCCATTCCACAAACTGCTCTGGGTGCAGCCAGTTTTATCAGCATTTTCTACTGCTGGAGCCAAGTAAGTAAGTCTTGGTGGGGGGAGGGGCAGAAGGGGTAGGGGTGTAGGCTTGTTGGCGGGGACCCAACTCCACCCCACCCATGGGTTGCACTTGGCCGCCAACCCCACACATGGGTCGTGCTTTCCCCCCCTTACCCTCATGGGTCATGCCTGCCCTCCCACCCATGGGTCACGCTTGCTCCCCCT